ATACAGCTAATGTTTCAGATGGATCCAGATAAATTTCCCGGTTTCTATGTCTTTCAAGAATCTGCATTCGGAAATATCATTCTACCAGGGATTCCAAGGAGTGAAACAAATAAATGATGATATGTGTGATAATTGTGAACAATAATAAATTGTATTCTAAACATTATTCAAGTCGAAAATAAGTGTTATTGTTGTGTAGATGAATGAATCATACGTTTTTTCAGCACATGGCATATTTCTATAATATATAAATCCTTCAGACTATTTTTAATTGTCTTTTATATTCGCATTACCTTTGTTACTTACACATCAATGACAGACGCTGAAACTGTCCTGTGTATCTGCATGCTATGTTCTCCTTCCTGTGTGCTAGATGGTTTTTACATTTTAGACCATGTCACATGTGAACTAATCTGTTGATAGGTTTGAATTGTGGAACCATAATATCATTATTGGCAGGTGTCTGTATGCTTCTACAATCTGCATCGACTTTCTCACACAGACGTTTTATATTTCTGTTGCCTGATTTATTCAATTTTTGTAGATGAAGGTTTGAATGTAAACTTAGACTTCCTTAGAACCCTGTGACCCAGGGTTCAATAGGTACTGAAATTAGCTTGCCCAGCAATTGTATTCTAGAAATCAAAGTCACCGATATGGTTGATTTACATGCGTCGTGACTTTCGTTCTGGACTGAAACCAATTTTTATTATACAAGATATTAGCAGCAACTAGAATAGGTGAATCGGTTTTTTGTCCCTGAAAGGTACTCCCTATATTTAAAAGTTGGGAGTTTTATTCGTATGTATATCTGTGCTATTATTTCGATTGCACAGGGAAATACTTTTTATTAGCTAGTGGACAATTTGTACATAAATTATTCTTGAAAAGCCTATTTCTTTAGAGCTTCTGTAATTGTGGAGAAGAAACTTTGTCGAATATCAACGGAGTCTGAATAGTACGGCAAATATCTAAGGAGAACTTGAAATAGTGTTTGACATCAGAGATAATAGCATCTAGGTCTTTGTTAACGTATGTGTTCCACTATATTTCTTGTGATATATTCTTAAGAAACTGTACATTTGTGTGCAAATAGAATGAGCGCCAAAATTTTTCGTGAGAGACAGGCGAAAGCTCTTTTTATTAATCTGTCATGCACTTTCATCGCCTGGAAAATCTAAGATTAGAAGTGGTGTAAGTGTTCGTTATGTAGACATTCGGTGAGAGCTGTCTACTAGCCAAATTGGTAGACAGTAATTTACGTCAATATTTACGTTCCCAAGATTTGTCGTGAGAAAATGTGAACAAAGATTGATTCAAAACCGACCACAGCAGACTTTGCGTAGGCGGATGCAGTTAACATATAGAGGATTTGACATTCAAGAAACAGTCACAAATAGATGAAAGATTAATTTTACGTGAGAAACAACCAATCGAAAGACTGTGTTTGTTTGCTTAAATATCCACAGTAATGTACATGAAAATACATAAATATGCGTTGATTTCCTTAATAAGTGATCTGTTGCCTGACTCTTGCCTTCTGTCGTTACAGACATACGTGTAGTCACTTGAGTTCTTGGAATGACATTTAATGGCAATGTGGCCTGTATCGTCACTCTAAAAATCTGAATCACACATGGCGTACCGTGTTTTGCTAATAATCCTCCGAGAAGACTTGATTCAGATTAGTACATAAGAAATAATGGCATACGTAGAGTGATAGTTTTTCATGTCATTTCGTCCTCAACACGCTTATTCCTCCTGTTGTATTTTGGCTTGCTACCAGGGAATAATCTCGTTGACTTAGAATATGCGGACGATATAGTCCTTCTAGGCGAGAACTTTGACAAAATGCAGAGTCTACTGAACACCCTGAGCAACAATCTCCGTATGTTTGGCATGCGATTCGCCCCTGTAAAATGTAAGATGATGCTGCAGGATTGGACCTCATCGACCCCTAGATTAGAAATAGGAAGTGAAGTGGTAGAACACGTTGACCGCTTCAATTACTTGGGAAGTACCATCAGCTCCAACGGGTTGATCTCAGACGAAATTTCAGCACGAATACAGAGGGCTAGGTTCGCATTCGCCAGTTTTCGCCGTCTCTGGCGTAGACGCGATATCCGACTATCGACCAAAGGGCGTGTGTACTGCTCAACAGTCCGCTCCGTCCTCCTTTATGGCTGTGAGACCTGGCCATTGAGAGCAGAAGACATGAAAAGATTAGCTGTCTTCGATCATAGGTGTCTGCGTTCTATCTCCCGCGCGAAGTGGTATAATAAGGTGAGCAATATTGAGGTTAGGCGTCGAGTGCTAGGTAAGGCGGGGAAATCAATCGACGAAACGGTGAAATTACTTCGACTGAGATGGTTAGGACATGTGCTACGTATGCCTAGTCATCGCCTTCCTCGACGGGCAATGTTAGCTGATATAGGGCCAGGCTGGAAAAGAGCTAGCGGCGGTCAAACGAAAACATGGCACCAATCAATGAAATCTACAACAGTTAATCTAAGCCACGTAGGAAGATGTAGACTTCCTGGTTGGGGTTCTCAGGACGGTAGAAACCAATGGTTGGAAACAATTGGTGACATGGCTCAAAATCGTTCTCAGTGGCGCAGATGCATCCACTCCTTGTGACTTATGATTTCCAATGAAATTGTTTTGTTCTCCGCTATTACTATTCCTTTGTCTCACACCTCTGTTTACTGTTTCCATTATGCATTTCTTCCACTTTCTTCTCTTGCTTTGCGTGCTACATAGATTGTGGCGACTTGAACTGCCGCACATATGTGCAAAGTTCTATGTCGAAAACCGACCGACCGACCGTTGTATTTTGGCGGTATCTAGTGGAAACTTACTGAATGTATTCCTCTTGGCTGGAGATGCCTGTCATCTTGGTCGATTGTTGTCTTGTGTACAACAGCAGTATAATTAAATGGCGTTACTACTCCGCTTCATAGTCAGTTCTAACTACTTATTATATGCTGATCTGCAGTCTGTAGCGAATACAGGTGCCCAGACGTTGAGGGATTTCGGCCCTATTAATATTAAAAATAAAGTATCAAAACGTCGTGTATGGTGCTTTCCCCGCGCTTTTGTTATTTACATGGAAACTAACAAACTTTCGGTGAGCAGGTGTTATGGTCTTGGGAGACACGCTGGGACTCTGATCGAGGAGTGCATCTGCGGTGATATCTGATGGATGACCTTTGTGGCTGTTGCTGGCAAAAGCAATTTCTGGATCAGTGTTGTTCGAAGAAGAAATGTCAGACACCATAATGGCGAAATTGTTGAGCTTCGCGTGCGTCCGAACTGGACCAAGCTCGTGTACCAATGGAGATTTATCAGTTTTTGGTATTCAGCAGGTAGGCCTGAAATGTTACCGTCAAATCTTGCGGTCCAGCAACCCCGTTCTGATGTCAGCGAACTTAAGTGACCATAAATTGCAGATAAATATTAGTGATTTGGATCGGTCATCCATCGAAGGCTGCAGTGTAAATTGTTCACATTTCCAAATGAATATATACCAGCATGTATGAGAAGGTCACCACGCTCTTTCATACATGACTACAAACAGTGATGGGTGCTCATCAAATTGTTATCTTAGCGTACTGTGAAAAGTGTAACTGCGTGTTTTGTGGTAGAATTATATTGCAATATTGATCGAATTCTAATAGACCGAAATCACGAATCTCGTTGACTTAGAATATGCAGACGATTTAGTCCTTCTAGGTGAGGACGCTGACAACATTCAGAGTCTTCTGAACACCTTGAGCTGCAACCTACGAATGTTTGGCATGCGATTTGTTCCTGCCAAATGTAAGATGATGTTACAAGACTGGACTACATTGACTAACTTTTAACTTAGAAATAGGGAGTGAAGTGGTACAGTGTGTTGACCACTTCACTTATATGGGAAGTTGCATCAGCCTACGCCAGCAGGTTGATCGCTGATGCAATCTCAGCACGGATGCAGAAGGCTAGCTTTGCATGTGCCAATTTACACCGTCTCTGGCGTGGACGCGATATCAGGCTATCGACCGAAGGGCGTGTGTACTGCTCATCAGTCCGCTCCGTCCTCCTTTATGACTGTGAGACGTGGCCATTGAGAGTGGGAGACATGAAAAGACTAGCTGTCTTTGATCATAGGTGCCTGCGTTCTACCTCCCATGTGAAGTAGTATAATAAGGTGAGCAATATTGAGGTTAGTCGTCGAGTGCTAGGTAGGTGGGAGGGGAAATCAATAGATGAGGCTAGGAAGTTACATCGACTGAGATTGTTAGGACATGTTTTACGCATGCCTATCCATCACCTTCCTCGATCGGCAAGGTTAACCGACATAGGGTTAGGTTGGAAAAGAGCCAGTGGTGGTCAAACCAAAACATGGCTTAATCAGTCAATGAAATCCACAACAGTTAGTTTAAGCCAGCCACGTAGGGAGGTGTAGACTTCCTGGTTGTGGTCCTCGGGATGGTAAACACCAATGGCTGGAGACAATTGGTGATGCGGCTCAAAATTGTTCTCATGGCTCAGATACTTCCACTCCTTGTGACCTATAATTTGCAATGAAACTATATTGTTCTTCGATATTACTATTCTTTTTGCCTCACATCTCTGTTTACTGTCTCTATTTTGCGTTTCTTTTTACTTTCTTCTCTGGCTTTGTGTACTGAGTGAAGCGTGGCGACTTGAACTGCTGCACATCGGTGCAAAGTCCTATGTTGAAACCAGCCAGCCATGCACGCGAATTCTCGTCACGTGTGAAATTTGATTAAACAGTTAAGTGTTTAGTAGTAAGATTTAGTTTAAGCTACATCGATAAAGACTACTGGAAACTGTAGCCGTTTATGTTAGAACTATTTAAGCTGAAAGGTGTGGGAAAATTGGCATGCATCCATTACTGAAGACAACCCCTTTCACTTTTCTGAAAATAGTCAATGTTTATTCCTCAGTTTGTTAGTTGTCATTAATTCGTATTGTTTGCACCTTTTCTCTCTCAGGTAAACGAAACCGAAAGTCACTGGATACATTGGAGGAACGCAAATCTAGTGGAAGTAGTGCAAAGTAGGCTCTTGTATTTTCCTTCTTCTTCATCTAGTATGCTATGCAGCTATTATATGAACAGTATCAGGCCTGTACAGGTAATTTAGCATTGTTTCTTTTTATAGAGTTAATGTTTCAGATGGATCCAGATAAATTTCCCGGTTTCTATGTCTTTCAAGAATCTGCATTCGGAAATATCATTCTACCAGGGATTCCAAGGAGTGAAACAAATAAATGATGATATGTGTGATAATTGTGAACAATAATAAATTGTATTCTAAACATTATTCAAGTCGAAAATAAGTGTTATTGTTGTGTAGATGAATGAATCACACGTTTTTTCAGCACATGGTATATTTCTATAATATATAAATCCTTCAGACTATTTTTAATTGTCTTTTATATTCGCATTCACCTTTGTTACTTACACCTCAATGACAGACGCTGAAATTGTCCTGTGTATCTGCATGCTATGTTCTCCTTCCTGTCTGATAGATGCTTTTTACATTTTAGACCATGTCACATGTGAACTAATCTGTTGATAGGTTTGAATTGTGGAACCACAATATCATTATTGGCAGGTGTCTGTATGCTTCTACAATCTGCATCGACTTTCTCATACAGACGTTTTATATTTATGTTGCCTGATTTATTCAATTTTTGTAGATGAAGGTTTGAATGTAAACTTAGACTTCCTTAGAACCCTGTGACCCAGGGTTCAATAGGTACTGAAATTAGCTTGCCCAGCAATTGTATTCTAGAAATCAAAGTCACCGATATGGTTGATTTACATGCGTCGTGACTTTCGTTCTGGACTGAAACCAATTTTTATGATGCATTTAAGACATTGGCAACAACTAGAATAGGTGAATCGGTTTTTTGTCCCTGAAAGGTACTCCCTATATTTAAAAGTTGGGAGTTTTATTCGTATGTATATCTGTGCTATTATTTCGATTGCACAGCGAAATACTTTTTATTAGCTAGATGACATTTTGTACATAAATTATTCTTGAAAAGCCTATTTCTTTAAAGCTTCTGTAATTGTGGAGAAGAAACTTTGTCGAATCTCAATAGAGTCTTAATAGAACGGCAAATATCTAGGCAGAACTTGAGATAGTGGGTGACATTCGAGATAGTGGTATCTAGGTCTTTGTTAACGTATGTGTTCCATTATATTTCTTATCATATATTTTTAAGAAGCTGTACATTTGTGTACGAATAGAATGAGTGCCGGATTTTTTTGTGAGACGCAGGCGAAAGCTCTTTTTATTAAACTGCTATGCACTTTCATCGCCTGGAACATATAAGATTAGGAGTGGTGTAAGTGTTCATTATGCAGACACACGTGTAGTCACTTACTTACTTTACTTTGCTTCGGCTATCTCCTACGGAAGGATGAGCCGGCTTCATGAACTTCTCAAATCATCGCTACCCAGGCGCAGCGATCTGATGAAGAGAGTTTACGAAGTTTCATGGGAATTTGGTACGAGTGATGTCCCCAGAACCACTCGGCCTTTTGTTTGATAGTGCAGCTCTAGCCTTTACACAACCAAGTGTGACCTACAAGGCAGTAGGAGTGGAGTAGGGAGTCCACTATCCATTGGCAGCCGGTGACCGGAGTTCGGTTCATACGCCTTTTTGAATGGGGCCAGACATCCAGGACATCCAACAAGCCCTTTGTCCATACGTCTGCCGGTGAGCTCCAGTGAGCTTCATACGCCAGTCGTTGGAGGTTTGGAATCAGGGTTTAGCCATCTCCCCTAGACTGTTATCCAATGGGCAGTCAACCCGGTGAAGAGCGCCGGGCATCCGCTTTCGCCCTCTCACTTTGGTGAAAAACACCTCCGCCACGTGAAGGCAGTGAGTAGGACTTCCTCAGGAGAGGCTATGTAAGACGCCCGGTCATATGGGAGCATTTCAAGAGGTGTGCGGAGGGGTGGCCAACCCGCAGCGCAAGGCACCCACCCCCGACCATCCTGAGGCTTTGGAGGCTTGAATTCTTGGGATGACATTGAATGGCAATGTAGCCTGTATCGTCACTGTAAAAACTGAATCACACATGGCGTACCGTGTTTTGCTAATAATCCTCCGAGAAAACTTGATTCGGATTAGTACATGAGAAACAATGACATACGTAGAGTGATAGTTTCTCACGTCATATCGTCCACAACACGCTTATTCCTCCCGTTGTATTTTAGCGGTATCTAGTGGAAACTTGCTGAATGTCTTCTTCTTGGTGGGAGATGCCTGCCGTCGTGGTCGATTGTTGTCTTGTGTACAACAGCAGTATAATTAAATGGCGTTACTACTCCGCTTCATAGTCAGTTCTAACTACTTATTATATGCTGATCTGCAGTCTGTAGCGAATACAGGTGCCCAGACGTTGAGGGATTTCGGCCCTATTAATATTAAAAATAAAGTATCAAAACGTCGTGTGTGATGTTTTCCCCGCGCTTTTATTATCTACGTGGAAACTAACAAACTTTCGGTGGGCAAGTGTATGGTCTTGGGAGACACGCTGGGACTCTGATCGAGGAGTGCATCTGCGGTGATATCTGATGGATGACCTTTGTGGCTGTTGCTGGCAAAAGCAATTTCTGGATCAGTGTTGTTCGAAGAAGAAATGTCAGACACCACAATGGCTAGATTGTTGAGCTTCGCGTGCGTCCGAACTGGACCAAGCTCGTGTACCAATGAAAATTTATCAGTTTTTGGTATTCAGCAGGAAGGCCTAAAATGTTACCGTCAAATCTTGCGGTCAAGTGACCCCGTCCTGATGTCAGCGAACTTAGGTGACCATAGATTGCAGATAAATACTAGTGATTTGGATCGGTCATCCATCGAAGGCTGCAGTGTAAATTGTTCACATTTCCAACTGAATATATACCAGCATGTATGAGAAGGTCACCATGCTCTTTCATACATGGTTACAAACAGTGATGGATGCTCATCAAATTGTTATCTCAGCGTACAATCAAAAGTGTAACTGCGTGTTTTGTGGTAGAATTATTGATCGAATTCTAATAGACCCAAATCACGAATCTCATTGACTTAGAATATGCAGACGAAATAGTCCTTCTAGGCGAGGACGCTGACAAAATGGAGAGTCTTCTGAACACCTTGAGCTGCAATCTATGGATGTTTGGCATGCGATTCGCACCCGGCAAATGTAAGATGATGTTACAGGACTGGAGTACATTGACTCACTCCTAGCTTAGAAATAGGGAGTGAAGTGGTAGAGCGTGTTGACCACTTCACTTATTTGGGAAGTTGCATCAGCCAACACTAGCGGGTTGATCGCTGACGGAATCTCAGCACGGATGCAGAAGGCTAGTTTGGCATATGCCAGTTTACACCGTCTCTGGCGCATATGTGATATGCGGCTATCGACCAAAGGACGTGTTTACTGCTCATCAGTCCGCTCTGTCCTTCTTTATGGCTGTGAGACGTGGCCATTGAGAGTGGAAGACATGAAAAGATTAGCTGTCTTCAATCCTAGGTGTCTGCGTTCTATCTCCCGTGTGAAGTGGTATAATAAGGTGAGCAATATTGAGGTGAGGCACCGGTCGAGTGCTAAGTAGGTGGGAGGGGAAATCAATATACGAGGCTGTGAAATAACATCGGTTGAGATGCTTAGGAAATGTGTTACGCATTCATAGCCATCGTCTTCCTAGATGGCCAATGTTAGCTGACATAGGGTCAGGTTAGAAAAGAGCCAGTGGAGGTCAACCCAAAGCATGGCACCAGTTAATGAAATCCACAACAGTTAGTTTAAGCCAGCCACGTAGGGAGGTGTAGACTTCCTGGTTGGGGTCCTCGGGATGGTAAACACCAATGGCTGGAGACAATTGGTGATATGGCTCAAAATTGTTCTCATGGCTCAGATACTTCCACTCCTTGTGACTTATAATTTCCAATGAAACTATATTGTTCTTCGATATTACTATTCTTTTTGCCTCATATCTCTGTTCACTGTCTCTATTTTGCGTTTCTTTTTACTTTCTTCTCTGGCTTTGTGTACTGAGTGAAGTGTGGCGACTTGAACTGCTGCACATCGGTGCAAAGTTCTATGTTGAAACCAGCCAGCCATGCACACAAATTCTCGTCACATGTGAGATTGGATTGAACAGTTTAGTGTTTAGTAGTAAGACTTAGTTTAAGCTACATCGATAAAGACTACTGGAAATTGTAGATAGGAAACCGTTTATGTCAGAACTATTTAAGATGAAAGATGTGGAAAAATTCGCATCCATCCATTGCTGAAGATATCCCTTTCCACTTTCCTGAAAATAGCCAACGTTTATTCCTCAGTTTGTTACTTGTCATTAATTCGTATTGTTTACACTTTTTCTCTCTCAGGTAAACGAAACCGAAAGTCACTGGATACACTGGAGGAACGCAAATCTAGTGGAAGTGCAAAGTAGGCACTTGTATTTTCCTTTTTCTTCATCTAGTATGCTATGCAGTTATTATATGAACAGTATCAGGCCTGTACAGGTAATTTAGCATTAACTTTCTTTTATACAGCTAATGTTTCAGATGGATCCAGATAAATTTCCCGGTTTCTATGTCTTTCAAGAATCTGCGTTCGGAAATATCATTCTACCAGGGATTCCAAGAAGTGAAACAAATAAATGATGATATGTGTGATAATTGTGAACAATAAATTGTATTCTAAGCAGCATTATTCAGTCGAAAATAACTGTTATTGTTGTGTAGATGAATGAATCACACGTTTTTTCAGCACATGGCATATTTCTATAATATATAAATCTTTCAGACTATTTGTAATTTTCTTTCATATTCGAATCACCTTTGTTACTTACACATCAATGACAGACGCTGAAATTGTCCTGTGTATCTGCGTGCTATGTCCTCCTTCCTGTCTGATAGATGCTTTTTACATTTTAGACTATTTCACATGTGAACTAATCTGTTGATAGGTTTTAATTGTGGAACCACAATATCATCATTTGCAGGTGTCTGTATACTTCTACAATCTGCTTCGACTTTCTCATGCAGACGTTTTATATTTATGTTGTCTGATTTATTCAATTTTTATAGATGAAGGTTGTAATGTGAACTTGGACTTCCGTAGAATCCTGTAACCCAGGGTTCAATACGTACCGAAGTGAGCTTACCCAGCAACAGTATTCTAGAAATCAAAGTCACCGATATAGTTGGTTTACATGCGTCTTGACTTTCGTTCTGGACTGAAACCAATTTTTATGATACAAGATATTGGCAACAAGTAGAATAGGTGAATCGGTTTTTTGTCCCTGAAAGGTACTCCCTATATTTAAAAGTTGGGAGTTTTATTCGTATGTATATCTGTGCTATTATTTCGATTGCACAGCGAAATACTTTTTATTAGCTAGATGACAT